CGTTGGCTTCAACACATTTTCACCCATTTTTTACATTACCACCTGTGGAAGCTGTGATTTCCATCAAACTTATTATTTATTACCAATATTTTAAGATTTTGACAAGAACACTTCATTTTAAAGAAATCAATTTAAATTATATGCAATATGTTCATATTTCGCTAGTTATAACCTTGCAAACCTCAGCTTCAAGGAATTTAAAAGATTTTTGTAATTTCCCATATATAGTTTCGTCCGATTTAATGTAAACCTATTGATATTTGACCTATTGATATTTGACCTATTGATATTTGTTTGACCTATTGATATTTGTTTGAAGACGATTTACATACTTGTGTGCCATTGTAACAAACTAATGACATGTTTATGGATAAATCTAGATAAATATCACATATTTTATTTCATACAATCTCATGTTAATAGCCCTGTTTAATATACCCATAGTGGTGAAGGGTATCATATAGTCGGCCCGGTCCGACTTTACTACTTTCATTACTGGTTAATGCATATTTCTTTAAAGATCATATGAGTTTTGAATTTTTAATGAATATTTTTAATATTTATTTTGATTATTTCCTATTATTGTAATGGAAATAAGCCATCATTTAATGTATAGATTCCACTTCAGTAATAACGGAAAAATGCCAATCGAGACAACCAGAACCAGATATTAATATTTTATAAAAACCATCTGCCAAATGACTGGGAAACTGATCGTGATTAAATTGACACTTTGTTAGAGTGTATTCCCTCTTTTTGAGCGGAGGCTCAAACTTATCCTCAAACACAGGTAAATCGGAGCAATTTTTAAGCGTTTCCATGAACATTTCCTTGTAGAAACCATTGATGGCCGCAATTAAATTTTGACGAGGCATTTTGAAGGGCAAAACCCTGTATTCCTTGACACCATTTTCGCTGCGATAAGAACTGGCCTCAACCTAAAATAAATGATGCCAATTTGTTTAATAAGAATAAAACGGACATTCTTCAATGTACATAACATTCCGTACGCTCATAAACATCGAAACCCAAAACAAAAGTGCCAGATATGGCATAGACACCGCGTGACACACGCTCCACTCTCAAGTTGATTCGAGCCATGTCTTCGTCCGTCGATGAATAATCCAGTGATTTAATTACAGAAGTCCACGATTTCTGTTGTAAAGAAAATGGAAAACAGAAAAATCGATAAGTAAAAAGAAGTTGTTCTTTAACGGGTGTATTTTTTTTTCAAATCACCTCATTAGACCTTAACATCATGGCATTTACAAGGACCACCGTGTAGAGTAAATGAAGCACCAACTGCCATAGTCCTGTTTTATTTAAATTCAATACCATGATCATTATTTCTATTTTAGTATCACTTTCTTAACACTGGCTAAACGAGTAACTATTGTCAGCTAAACCCGATATTAAAGCTTATATATTGGTCAAATGTATAATAGCTTGTAATATGGTAATCATTCGGATCATGTTTTAGATCATAATTCATTCGATGGCATGTAACAATCTTGTTTTTTTAATTAATAAAAAAACAAGATTCAGTGATTCTGAACACTGATCCGTACAAGAATAAAATAGTATCACTGAACATAGGCACGTGATATTTGTTATGAAATATTATATATTTTTTCATGAATGAAAAAAATATATTTGTACCAGGCTATGTATAAAAACATTTTTAAGGCTCTAGATAACCGTGGATTTTTAAAGAATATTTTTTAAGCCCCTATATAAACGTAGACTATTAAAGAATATGTTTTCAAGTGTTGATTTGTAAATATATTTTTTTAAGGCTCTACATAAGTGTGGGTTTTTAAATAATATGTTTTCAGGGCCCTATATGGCCAAAATAAAATAAAAACAAAAAAATTATTTTTGTGAGCAAAGTACAGATTGCATTTATGGTCCTAATAGGATGAAATTTGGCACAGCCCATTTGTTTTGCCCAAGGACGAACCCTATTGAAATTGGAGAAAATCGGTTCAGATTTAGACATAGCTCCCACATATATTTTCGTCCGATTGCACCTAAATGATGCACCAAACTCTCAAATTTTGTCCGAATGACACAAAATTTTGCACTGAACCGATTTTAATTCAGTACGCAGCTTCCAAATATAGCTTCGCCCGTTTTTATGTAAATGGTGCACCAAACTCGAAATTTGTGTTCGATTGAGACAAAATGTGGCTTCACGTAGGGAAATGATACTAGGATAGAGTGTGTTAAGTTTCATTGAAATCGGATCAAATATAGATATAGCTCCCATATATAGCTTCGTCCAATTTTATGTAAATGGAGCACCAAACTCCCAATTTTTGTCCGATTTTGACGAAAGTTGGCATAACGTATGGAATTTAGAATAGTTTTATTGAAATCGGTTCAGATTTATATATAGCATCGTCCGATTTTATGTAAATGGTGCACCAAACTCTCAATTTTTGTCCGATTGAGACAAAATTTGGCTTAACGTATGGAAATGAGACTAGGATAGAGTGTGTTAAGTTTCATTGAAATCGGATCAGATATAGATATATCTCCCATATATAGTTTCGTCCGACTTTATGTAAACGGTGCACCAAACTCCCATTTTTTGTCCGATTGAGACAAAATTTGGCATATCGTATGTAATTGATACTAGGATAGAGCGTGTTAAGTTTCATTGAAATTCGATCATATGTACTAGATATAGCACCAATATTCATTGTTGCTCCAAAGATGCTAAGTCTGTTCTATCAGGATTTTATATATATTATCATCGTTTGTATGTAACCAAAGTGGTGGAGTGTATCATATAGTCGGCGCCGTCCGACTTTTGAACTTTCCTTACTGGTTTTAAATTATATTTTTTTCAAGGCCTTATATAAGCGTGAATTTTTTAATATTATTATTTTTTTTTCAAAGCCCTAAATAATAAAAGGCCTTATTCGGACAAAACAAAAAACAAAGTAGTTAATGTGTAGATTCCACTTCAGAAATAACGGATAAATGCCAATCGAGGCAGCCACAACCAACGATTAGAATTTTATAAAAACCATCTTCCAAATGATTGGGAAATCCATCTTGACTAAACTGACACTTTGTTAGAGTATATTCCCTCTTTTCGAGCGGTGGCTCAAACTTATCTTCAAACACCGGCAAATCGGAGCATTCTCTCAGTGTATCCATCAACATTTCCTTATAGAAACCATTGAGGGTTGATATGACATGTTGGCGAGACATTCTGAAGGGTAATACCTTGTATTCGTTGACGCCATTGTCGCTGCGATAGACACTAGCCTCGATCTAAAATAATTTAGTGTACATTTTAATAATACTAAAATAGAGATTCTCTGTAGCATATTACATCACATTGTGTACTCTCATCAACATCGATACCCAATACAATGGAACCAGATATGGCATAGACACCACGTGTTACACGTTCCACCCTCAAATTGGTGTTAAGTATGTTCTCGTCCGCCGTCGAATAATCCACTGATTTTATTTCATATGTCCACGATTTCTGTTGTAAAGAGAACGAAAACAAGAAAGGATTTTTTCCTTAAAGGATTTTTGTTTAATCACCTCATTGGACCCCGATACCATGGCATTTGCAAGGACCAACTGGTAGAGAAAATGCAACACCAACTGCCATAATCCTGTTTTATTTAAATGCCATACCATGATCACCACTTAAATTTTATTATCACTGGCTACACTGTGAACTGCTTACAACTCAAACTGATGTTAAAGCTTATATTGGATGGTCAATTTATAATAGCCAATATTAGCATGTTGTTAGTATCGGGTGTGCTAGATCACAGTCCTTGCGATGGCATTCAGCTGTCTTGTTAGTAAATTATTTTATGTTGTTTTTCCTGGTTGATAGTAACGCATTTTCAATGAAATTTTTTAAGCTGCAACAATGAGTATAACCAACACTAGAGACATAATGTTTGGAACTAGTCACGTGATATTTGTTATGAAATAATATATTTTCGGGGAAGAATTTTTGAAGGAGATTCAATAAGTTTTTTTTTTATTTTTAAAGAATATTTTTACAAAGTATTAAATAGTCGTCGATTTAAAAAATAAAAGCAAGTGTTAATAATGTTTTATATTTGTACTTGTAAAAAAGGGTGGGTTTCAGCCAGGCCAATCAGCTTTCCCATGGTTTAGAAAAGTACAGCTTTCAGAGGTTATGAAGTCTGGTGGTCTGTTGACGGAGACGATGATCGGAAGGTGGTCTGAGCCGAGTGAAATGACGGGTTGCCAGGTTACGTCATTTATCAGACACGGAGCCACAATAGTGATGTCAGGCAAGCTGTGGCAATCTCCTCTTATCCTCATGGGGGCATCCTCATTAACCGTGCAAAATGTTGACCTGGAATGTTGACTAGAGTCTAGCTCAAGCGATGTAGGTCTGTACTGGACAGAATGGTGTAATAAAAATGTAAGTCACCCACCTTCGCTTCTGGTACGGACCCTCCGCATAACGTTGCAGCCATCGCAACACTGCAAGCTACAGATCTCGGTTAGCTTGGTTTCCTCATAAATTCTACAATTTCGCTGATTTTGTTGCGAAGACCATTGCAGTTGAACTGCGTAACAACAATATGTGTTGTTCTATTTCTATTCCTTTACTTTTTATATCTTCTTCATAGTCCCCAAAAAACGTCCATTATATATTCAAACAAATAAAAACAGAACGGAGGAGAAGGGAGACATAAAGCGCAAAAAATTAATTACCAACTTTTGCGAAACCTTTTAAGAAAAAGAAATCAGTCTTTATAAAAGAACGACACTATATTGCTTTTTTCCCTTCATGGTGAATTAAAAATATTCTCTTCTCTTATATCTTCCAGGTAAAAACCACAAAAAAGAAACGCTATCAAACGCAGTAATAAAAAGCGGATATTTCAGTCATCCACTTTGCCCCACACCGCAAGGATTTACGTTTAACACATAGTCACACTCAGCCACATACCAACACCACCACCATCTCCAGAGAGACAACAAAATTTCAACACTAAAAATGCGTCGTTCATCATTTACACCGGTTTTCAATATCAGCACACAGGAGCCACTCATTGTGGTCGAAGAGACCAATCCCACAGATGAAGATGGTGCTGACGAGCTACTGGGTGCCGTTGGTGGAGGTAATGAAAGTTGTACATCGGCAACCGCAAAAAGGACAAACAGTGATGACTCGGATCCAGAATCACCCAAAAATCCATATCTGCTGTGTCCATTGATGGACATGCAACAAAGACGCAAACATTCATTGCCATCACTGCAAATAACCGAGGGTATAACGGCCAGTCAGGTGAGGCGTCTCTCAGATGTGGGTGGTGAAACTGGCGGTCTCAGTCCACATGATGTAGAGTTCTTGACCACACTATCACAATCACAGGCCGGGCCATCGGGTGGCGGACGAAGACATTCTGTTGTAACTATATCGGCTGTACCACCCACATTATTTGGACGTAATCGCCGTGAATCCATATCCGGTGCCCTCTATACGTAAGTAAAGTTCAGGTTTTTTGGTTTTTGTAGTTATTGCCTTTTTTGTTTGTTTGTGGGTTTTGCTCATCCCAGTGGAAAAATTTCTGTTCGCTGGTTGTGCGTTGAAAAATAACATAACGATTGAATAATGAGTTTTTATGCCATCTGTGGAATATTTTAGTCCAAACGGATATGCTGTAATGGCTTTTTATTTTCACGAATAAACTGAAGTGGAGCTCGATATTCAATTTTTCTCAATAGCCCAACCAAGTGGGTATTGAATAGACTAGGTATTAGTTTGAAGTGTTTATTGGATTTAATAAAAAAAATAATTATTGAAGTGGGAAAAAGGTGGACGAAATGGTATAATAGATTTTTTATAAATATGTTTTAATATAAATAAATTAGGCGCGATTAAAAAAATATTTTTAATAATTTATTACAGCCCCGAATTAAACTACATATTTTGTCTGATTTTCTGGACGTTCTATATGCAATTATGGCCCAAACATCGCTAATTTTTACATGGAGAAGGGGATCGTGCCAAAGAATAAGCGTGCCTGTTTTAATAAAGATCGGCCAATATTTAGCGGGTCAAATGGACCTGACTTTTGTGTGAAAATAACAAATTTGTATTCTATGGTGTAGTCGTTGGCCTTTAAATTGATACCAATTACATTGTCGTATGTACTAGGACGTGGGAGTTACACTTAGGCTACAATTGAAAGGAGAACATCACAACACTACCCACGGTGAAGGGAATCTGGACAAGTAATTAGAAGGGCTGTATTGGATATTAGTAATATTGGCTGACCTTTAGTCGGTCAAGAGGTTGCAAATATCGCGAAATATTGCCAATGCTCAGAATAAAGAACCACACAAAATTATATGTCCGTGGATGTTGTGTATGGTATCATATGGTCGGCTCCGTCCGACTATACTGTTCCGCTCACTGGTTTTAAATTGTTTTTGTATACCCTTCACCACACTGTGGTACAGGGTATTATGTCTTTGTGCATATATTTGTAACAAGCAAAAGGAAACGAGATAGACACATGGTTCATTTTGAGAATATGCATAGAATCACTTTCTGAGTCGATTTATGCATGTCCGTCCGTCTGTCTGTCTATGTTAAATTGTAAACAAAGTACAGGTCGCATTTATGATCCGAATTGGATGAAATTTGGCATAGGTCACTTGTTTGGCCCAAGGACGAACCCTATTGAAATTGGGAAAATCGGTTCAGATTTAGATATAGCTCCCATATATATTTTCGTCCGATTTAATGTAAACGGTTCATATATATCTTTCGATTTGCACGAAATTTGGCATAGCGCAATGAATTATGTCTAGAATGATGTGTGTAAAATTTTATAAAAACGATATAGCTCCATATATATCTTTCGATTTGCCCGAAATTTGGCACAGCGTAATGAATTAGGTCTAGAATAATATGTGTAAAATTTCTCAAAAATCGGTTTAGATTTAGATATAGCTCTAATATATATTTTGAATTTTTTGAAAATGGTGCACCAAAGTCCCTATATATCATTCGATTTGCACGAAATTTGGCACAGCGTAATGAATTTGGTCTAGAATGATGTGTGTAAAATTTCATAAAAATCGGTTCAGATTTAGATATAGCTCCCATATATATTTTCGTCCGATTATTTGGAAATGGTGCACCAAAGTCCCTATATATCTTTCGATTTGCACGAAATTTGGCACGTCGTAATGAATTAAGTCTATAATGATGTGTGTTAAGTTTCATGAAAATCGGTTCAGATTTAGATATAGCTCCCATATATATTTTCGTCCGATTTAAGGTAAATGGTGTACAAAAGCGGGTTTTTTCAACCGAATACACTGAAATTTGGTACATTGGGTTCTTATTGGGTACTAAATGTCTCCACACAAAATTATAAATATAGGTCCACTTTTTCTGGTAGCCCCCATATAACGGTACCTCCTATTTTCAGTATTTTGAGGGCTTTGATCGTATTTTCCACCGAATTGGTAATTTAGTATTTTGAGTTCTTAATAGGTACCAAATCTCTCCACAAAAAATTATAAATATAGGTACATTTTTTCGGATAGCCCCCATATAAGGGCACCCCCAATTTTCGGTATTTTTCGATTCTTGAACGCGGTTTTCAACCGAATTCGTTGCTATTTTGTATTTTGTAGTCGTATATGGTAACAAATCTTCCCACCAGAAAGTTTTTCACATTCGCCCCCTTTTTGGGGTCGTCCCCATATAACCCCCTTTTTATATTAAAATAGTTATGTTTTTTTCCGTGTTTGGGTTTGGTTCTAAGACTATGTTGTAATCATTTCATCTGCTGGAGATACGAAAAAACTAGAACATAAGGTTCGATAATTAACCTTATATATATATATATGAACTGTAAGCCGCATTTAGCCATAGCCCCTTTGTGGGAGGTACCAGAGGGAGTGGACCGATATTCCCCATGTCCGAACTAAAAAAAAATTGGATGAAATAATAAGATGGGCAAAGTTTGGATGAAATCAAAATTTTTTGAAAAAAAATGTTCCAAAGAAACATGGGGTCTAGAACCAATATTTCCATGAGGGTCATTTTCACCGTGTCAATGTTTATACACCCTCATCAGCCATAAGGCTGAGGGTAATTGAAATTTGTATAATGGTTTACATAATCGGTCTTTGGAATGTCGGTATAGGTGCACTTTTTGATATTTTCCCTATATTTTAATTACAAGTACCTGTCAGAATATCTATGGCGTTAAGTTCGGCCGGGCCGAGCTGTTTCACTTGTTTATAATTTATGATAGGCGTTTATTTCTTAAAAAATATTTTTTGTATTTTATGATAAGTGTAGATTTCTTAGAAAATATTTTTTATAATTTATGTTAAAATTGGATTTTTCAAAAATTATTTTTATAATGAATACAATTTATATATTTCTTCTATTTAATTGTTCTAGTGGAAGTCGTCGTGGAAGCGGCATCCAGGGCCCACCACTAACAGATCATCGAGGCAGCATTCACAATCTACAATTGGA